AAATCAAAAATTTTTAAAACAAAACATACATAATATGGACAGAGGATTTTTTTTTTTTAAAAAAAAAAAAAAAAAAAATTGAAATGGGAGGACAACGTTTAACTAGTTTCTTGTTTGTTTACGTATGTGTGTCTTTTTCTTCTTTTTCTTCAAAAAAATGAAAGGAAAACTTGACGATCATGGTGATCATGGTGATTATGATGGTGGCGGTGAAAGTTTATCACTGAATCGCATTGAAAGATATTTGATATCCAAAAAAATTGTCAATGCATGTGTCTTGTGTCGTCTACAAACAACATTTTTTTTAAAAAAAAAAAGTAATCCGAATACATCGCGATGTTAAAACCATGAAAAAATTAATTAATTTGAAATGATATTCTGTGTGTGTGTGTGTGGGAAAAGAAATTTTTTTTTTGTTTGAAAAATTTTCAATCAATTTATTTTTGAATCTTATCGCGATATTAACACATATGTTATGTTGTTGTTGGTCAATATCTTTACTTCTTCAATCAACAATGACGGCCAGAATATATTCAATTATTAAACGTTCAGCATATCAGAATGCATTTCCTAAAATTAAAACTACTCCAAATAAGTAATAATCGGTTGTTTAAAATTTGATTTAATATTTTCTTTGTTTTTGTTTTTGTTTTTCAAACAGTTTTTGGAATAAAATAACACTTGCACCAAGAGATCCAATTTTATCCATAAATCAACTTTATCAACAAGATCCTAATCCAAAAAAAATTAATCTATCAATCGGTACATATCGTACGGAAAACAATGAATCATATGTATTTCCTACTGTAAGAAAAGCAGAAAAAATTGTTTTCAATGATTGTTCCAATCTCGATAAAGAATATTCACCAATGGAAGGTTTTATGCCATTCAATCGTGAAGCATTTAGATTATTGTTTGGTGATGATTTTGGTTCGTTGGAAAAATCTGTTCGTATTCTTTTTTTTCTATTTAGACTCAAACTGTTTAGTTAATCTTTTTTCCTTTTTTTTTCATTGTCGTTAATGGACACAGAGTATAACCGTACAAACATTAGCCGGAACCGGTGCCTTAGATCTGGGTGCTGCATTTTTATCGAAATTTTTTCAAGGACATAAACAAGTATCGATTTCAAATCCATCATGGATTAATCATTATTTTATATTTCGAAATTATAATTTTAATATACATTCATTTCGTTATTATGATTATCAACGAAAAACATTTGATGAAAATGGTTTTTTTGATGATTTAAAAAATCTTCCAAATAATTCGGTTATTTTGTTTCAACCTTGTGGACATAATCCATCGGCTATCGAGCTAAATGTATGATTATCCAAAACCAAAACAAAGCAATTTTTAATGATTATGTTTTTTTGCAGCTGGATCAATGGATGATGGTATCCAGAATAGTAAGAGATAAAAATCTATTACCATTTTTCGATATTGCCTATCATGGTTTATGTTCGGGTAATATTGCTGATGATGTTAATCCAATACGTTTGTTTGCCGAACATGGCCATATGATGCTTGTATCACAATCATTTTCAAAAAATATGAGTATCTATTGTGATAGAGTTGGATCATTAACCGTTGTTTGTGATTCTGAACAAGAAGCATATCGTGTACAATCACAATTGAAAAATATAATCATTTCAAAATATATTTGTCCACCAATTCAAGGTGGACGACTTGTTGCATCGATCCTTACAGATTCAACATTGAAACACGAATGGAAAAAAGATCTGCAGCGAATTTCTCAACGATTATTGTTGACAAGAAAACAATTACAATCAAAATTAATGGAAACGTGTCCGGCGAATGATCATCAATGGCGTACAATTACTGAACAACGCGGTATTTTTTGGTATTCCGGTTTAACATCATTACAAGTTGAAACATTAATCAATGATTATAGTATTTATCTTTGTGAAGATGGTCGTGTTAATATAGCCGGTTTAAATCGAACAAATATGGATTTGTTTGTTAATGTTTTGAGCCAGATTCTAAACAATTCATAAATTGTAATTTTTTTTTAATTATAAAATTGTTTTTATTATTTTATTAATTAATTTATAAATTCTTTTAAAAACCTATATTTCTGTTTTGCTAATTAAAATATAAGTAAAAACCGATTGTTCGATACAATTATTTTGGTTTGAATGCAACAGCCATCAACCATGATTGATCATTATTTTCGGCTCGTTTAATTTTGGCAGTCCAACCTTGTTCAAGATCATCATAATCTTTTTGTGAAAATTTCGATAGAAATTCTTGTTTTCCATCACGTAATTTTTTCAATTCACGTTCCAATGATTGAACAAATTTATCTTTACATTCTTGTATTTTAAGATCAACAAATCCAACTTGTTTAAGCATTTGTTCATATTCATCTTTTGTCCATAATGTATAATCACGTTGTTTAACGTATTCTAAAAATTCTTCACTTTGTGGTTGACGATTACCACGTAAATAATCAGTAAAAACAATTCGTCCACCAGGTTTAAGCCATTTCATAAAATTTTCAAACAATTGTTTTTTATCTTTGATATGCAATAATGCATCACGACTATAAATAGCATCATAATAATTGTTTGGAAATTCAGCTTTTGTCACATCACATAAACGAAAATTGATTCGATCTTTTAAATGTGGTTTTTTATTGTAATAATCCATAGCAACATCCATCATATTTTGTGACAAATCAACAGCATCAATATAAACATTATATTTTTCAACCATATAAAAATCATGACCACCAAGTCCGGAACCCATATCCAATAATTTTTGACCAGATTTCAGTTCTAATTCGGGAACAATTTCTTTGGTTGTTTCAAGGCCACCGGTCGATAGATAACCTTCACCAAATATCCATTCATAACGTGCAACACCATTTTTCGAATATTGTACTTGATCAAGAAATTTTTGATATTCAGTTGCGTTCAAGTTTCCAGATCCCATTTTTTTTTTGGACAGATGATTGACGGACGCGGATGTGCTGTTTGGATGAAAATAGAATCGAATATTTTGTTGGTCTGAAATGAATTGAGTTGAGAGTGGGGGCAACTTATATAGGCAACTTTGTTTTTTGTTGGAAAAAAAAGTCACTATCTTTTGTCATTTTTTTTGTACAAATTCAAATTCAAAAAAATAACTACCGTCATCAACATTGTCAACAAAAAAAAACTCGGATGATTTTTATCTAATCTCGTCTCAGAAAAAGAAACGATGATGATGATGATGATGATAAACTCAAGACACAGTCAAATTTCATTTTTTTTAACTTTCAATCCTTATCCGACCTTATAATCAAGGTTCTTCGAACTAAAACTAACCGAAAAAAATAAGAAAATCAAAAAATTTGAAAAAGTTTGTGCTTGAAATATGACTACATTTCGCGAAGAATTCGATTCGAAAAAAACGAAACAAATCAAAAAAAAATGTTCAAACCAAAATCAATAATAATCAAACCAAATCAACTTTTTTTTGTCTTCAAATATCGTTCAGTAAATCTAGTAAATCAATTGAATGAAAAAAAATACGATTGTGTTTTCGATAACCTTCTTCTTTGAAAATTCAAATTGATTACAAGTTTGTCATGAATGATAAAGGATAAAGGATGAATGATGATCATCATTTGTAAATTATTTAAATCTTTATTATCAAATCATCATTATTATCAAAACGAAAAATTGTATAAGATTATTTCATTTCATTGGAAATATGTCATTGGTTTTTTTCTTCTTCATTTTTTCGTTTTTGTATTTGGTTCAATGATAATCATCAATCAATATCGTTTTTATTCAAAAAATTTAATGATGGCCATAGATGGCGATACTATCATTGGTAACATTAATGATAATCATTTTGATTCATTTTTTTTTTGTCAAACATTCCATTTTTTTTCAATTGATAATCATCATTATCATCCAAAAACGTAACTATCATGTCGAACGTAAAACAACAACGACGAGGTGTACTATTTGTTTGCCTTGGTAATATTTGTCGTTCACCAATTGCTGAAACTGTTTTTCAAAGTTTAATTGAACAAAGGTTAGGCGAGATTTTTTTTTCTTCGATGATGACATTGGATGACCACGTGTTAATCAATTAATTTTTCCCTATAGAAATTTAACAGATAAATGGTTTTGTGATAGTGCAGCAACCAGTTCATATCATACAGGTGATTTACCGGATTATCGTGCTATACAGGTACTGAAAGAACATGGCCTGCAAACTGAACATCGAGCACGTAAATTAACCAAAGAAGATTTCAATAAATTTGAATGGATTTTCGGTATGGATGAAAGTAATATCAGTAATATCAAACGAATGTCACCATCAAATTCACAAGCAAAAATTGAATTACTTGGATCTTATGATCCTGAAGGTCAATCGATTATTGAAGATCCTTATTATCAAGGTGGAATTGATGGATTTATTGCAAATTATAATCAATGTTTACGTTGTTGTCAAGCATTTCTTGATAAAATGAATTGAATTTTTATTTTATTTTTTTTAAAATAAAAATAATGAAATTTATTTTACAAAAATGAATGAATGGGGGGAATACATTTGTATTTGTGCTATTACATTGTAATATTTCCTTGAGGTGTTTGTTTTTTTATCTGATTAAATATATCATTATATTGATGAATTGTATCAACTGGACTATACAGTTCATTCATACGTGCTAATAAATGTTGATTAGGTTTATTAATGGATGGACCAATAAATGATCTTCCTAATTCTTTAATTAAATCCCAACATGCATTCGGTACTGAACAAGGACCATATTCAATTTCGGTAACAATTGCTTTAAAACTGCCGCCCATTGTACATGAACCTAATTTACAAACAAAATCACCAAGCAACCATTTTTGACCACGTACTTCAATACGTGCCAATTTTTTTGATGAATAAAAATTCGATAAATTTGAAATGATTTGTTCAAATGATTGATCGGCAACAATTGTTGAACCATTTTCAATCAATGAAAATGCTGTAGCAGGATATTCTGATGATTGAATTAGATTGAGTAATTTTTGTTGTGTTGTTGTTGTTGTTGGAAATATTGCCGGATTCGAATGATATGTATCACATTCGATTAAAAAATTACCCGATTTTTTTGCACCTAATGTTTCTAAATTTGTTTGAAATATATCAATCATTTGTGGACCAGCAATCGAATCGGAAACAATATGAACAGAACTGACAACCATTTTGAATCTGATAAAATTTGAAACAAAAAAAAATCGTTGAAAAAAATGTGATGAGAAAAAAAAAGTTTTTGAGAAGTTAAAAAAAAAGTTCCAGAAATTTTCCTGGCAATTTTGCTTCATATATTGCTTATTCATTCAGATTCGATTTGTGATTGTGTGTGATGAGTGACCATTAAGTTTTTTCATCAATATTTGTACCATAATCATGTCTTCAGATGAACAATTAGAAACATCAAAAGATTCATCTTCGAACAATAATTCCAATGATGATCTAGTCATTTCAACAAAATGTTATCTAAAAATTTTAATGCATGCATTTCGTTATCCGCATGGTTCTGTCAATGGATTGTTAGTGATGGAAAAGAAAAAAAAATCCTCCGGTAAATCAAATCGTATTGTTGATTGCATTCCTTTATTTCATTCGGGACATGGTTTAACACCAATGATGGAAGTTGCTTTGAATCAAGTAAATATATTTGACTAGATTAGTTACTAAAAACTAATTAAAAACATTATCCTACTTTTTTTTTGTTTCTCGAAAGGTATCGAATTATCTACAGAATAATACCAATTATATTATTGGTGGATATTATCAGGCAAATGATCATTTCCATGAAATTCCAGCACCAATTCCAACTGTATTTGCTGAACGTATTTCGGATAAAATTAATGAAATCAATCCAGAATCAGTAATGATCATGTTGAATGATTATAATCTTGCTACATCGATTGATAATGCTGAAAAACTTGATCAACCATTGTTTTTGTACAATTATGTTGATGGTAAATTGAAACTTAAATCATCATCATCATCATTGAATGTTCGTGGATTTCAATTGGAAAATTTTCAAATACTTTATCAAGCTATCAAAGAATTAATATTCCAAAAACAATATCATTTAAATATTGTTGATTTTGATTTACATCTTGAAAATTGTAAACATGATTGGCGTAATATTAAATTGAATGAAATTATTGACAAATTTGAAATTTGAATTTTGAAAAAATTAAAAGGGAATTTGTATTTTTAAAAAAAATGAATAAATTTCTATATTAACAGAAATTGACCGCTAGAGTTCACTGTCCTCAATAATAAAAGAGTGAGCGATGATAAGTTATAACTCGCGCAGCAGTGTTTGACATCAAACACATTTATGGATCGTTTCATTTGATTTTTTCGATTCGAAACAATGACCACCACCACCACCGCCAACAATAACAAAAAGAATGGTAACAAAAAATTTAAATTTGAAATTGGTGAAAAAGTACTTTGCTATCAAGATAAACATATTTATGAAGCTAAATGTTTAGATATTCGTAAATCAAATACATTGATTGAATATTTAATACATTATCGTGGTTGGAAACCTAAATACGATGAATGGGTATTGGCCGATCGTATACTTAAATATACACAGGATAATCTTAAACTTCAACAAAAATTACGACAATTTAAAAAAAATCGTCGTAAAAGAAAATCAAAAAAATCTGATCATGATGATGATGAATTGAAAAAGAAAAAATCAACGAAAAAAGATGATTCTTCGAAAAAACTCGCTAACAGCTCAGATGGTAATTCTACCAATAATAATAATAATTCGGGTATGTACTTTTTGTTGAGAATTTTAATTAAATTAGTCAATTTTGTTTTTATTCGTCTAATGCAGTAAATCATAATTATAAAAATCTAAATTCCAACGATATCGAAGTACCTGTTCATATTGAAAATCAACAAGATTTTCTCAATAAACGTGAAGTTAAAATTCGTATACCTGAAGATTTGAAAACAATTCTGACCGATGATTGGGAATTGATTATCAATCAGAAAAAATTGGTTCATCTTCCATTCAAATTAAACATTGATAAAATATTGAATGATTATTTTTTCAACAAATCACAAGCAGCTAAATTACCATCAAATCATACGCTCGATGGTTATATTGATTTCCTTAATGCTATACGAAGATATTTTAATTTTTTTCTCGACAAATGTTTATTATATCCATCGGAAAAACAACAAATGGAATATTTGATAAAAAATTATGATGAATTCGCTAAAACAGCCAAATCTATTTCAACAAACAACAAAGATTCAAAACGTTTACAAAAGAAATTCAAAAAATCTACATCAAAATCCGGAAACAATCGTTTTGTTTTATCATCAAATGTATTGACAAATGAAAATGAAAACACACCGTCTATTAAATCTCCTCGTTTACCATTATTGTTCACCGATCAAAATAGTCAAAGCGAAACATCGGATAGTTGTAGTACAAGTACTGAAGTATCAAGTACCGAACTACAAAATTGTCAACAACAAAATAAATTGGATCCATCAAACACCACCAGTGTTATTATCAACAACAATGAAAAACAAATCGATTTTACTAAACTTTATGGTGCTGTTCATCTTTTACGTTTGTTCACTAAATTGGGACAATTTATTTTTTACACTGATCTCAATTCAGAACGTATCAATCTAGTAAACAGTTATATTTATGATTTTTTAAAATATTTAAGCAAAAATCTTTGGCTTTTTGCTAATGAATCGGATACATCTTATATTGATTCAATTTTACTTTGTAAATAAGTGAATTTTTTTATAAAAATTATAAAAATAATTATTATTTAATAATTTTTTTGATATTAACAAATAAAATTAATTAATTTTAATCATCATAATGACCATTACTACCACCATGACCACCACCACCATCATATCCATGATTATAACCATGACGATGTCTAGTTGCAATAATTGTTTCAATTTTTTCATGTACTGGTTTCACTTCTTGAATTCTTTTACGATATGGTGTAATAATTTCTTTAATCTCTTGGATTACTGGTTTTTTAACACTATGTATCAATATATCTGGTTGATCAATGGAATTGGATTTTTTCACCTGTCCATGACTACCAAAATGATTTTGTACGGCAACAATATTGGATGAATGTGAATTAAAACGTATTTTCAATGATAATGGTACAGAATTTATATCAACAACCGGTGTTTTATGTTCAATACTGTTTGGTACTGAATATGTTTCGATTGCATGTTTTGATGTGTATGCAGCTTCGATTCCCGGTTCTTCTTTATCACTACCACCACTGTATTCATCATCACTATGATCAACCGGTGAATACGGTTGACCTCTATATGATTCAACAGAAGAAGATGCTAATAAGGCAAACATAAATATGGAAAAAAACTTGATTCATTTGTTGTTGTTATTGTTGATTATTTTCACTAAATCATTACATATTCTGTATGAATGAAACTTACCGATAAATTATTTGAAAAAAACATTTGATTTTTACTACATTTCACAATGAACAACCCGGGTATTATTTGATCAGATTCAAACAACAAAAACAAAATCAACGAAAAATCGAATGCTCGAAAATATGCAACGATGCAAGCTTTTATACTTTTCGTAAGAAAATCATTATATTCTTTACCCAAAAAAGACAAAATCTAGAACGAAAATGTGTCAACAACAACAACAAATTTCCTGTAATGAGAAATGGGTCGTTTCAACAACAATAACAATGGTTCCGTCAATCACAAATGACAATTGAATGACGAATCCCACTGTTTGATTTTTCAATTTCTTTTTTTTTATTGGATTCGATCATTTTGAGACAACAAAAAAACTTCAGCAACGGTTCGACGATCATCAAAATTTCTTTTTTTTTATTATTTTGCTTTCAAATTGGATTGATTTTTCAACAAAAAACAAACTTCCGAATATATCATTTTTCGATAAAAAAATTATTTAGGAGTTAATTTCAATGCAATCATTTCACCATTCAATTTTTTAATATGTGATTCATAGTTGACTATCAATGTTTTTAGTACATCAATCTGATCATCTTTAACCTGTTGTTGATTAACAAAAACAAAACAAAAAACTTTTCAGTAAAATTTTGATCCAAAAAAAACCATTAGACAAAATACCTTTAAACATTCACGAACATAATCCAATTCATTTGATGAAATTTTTTCCTTTTGTTTTGTTTCATTTTGTTTAATTTGATTTTCTAATGTTTGACATTTTTCCATATAGAATTTTAATTGAACACCAAGATCGGAATTTTGTTTTTGTAGATCTGTTTTAATTCATTAAAAAAAATTCAATTTCTAATTTCTAATTCATTATTTTTACTTCATACCTTCATTTTCAAATTTTAATGATTCATTAATAAATTTATCATTCAAATCTGGCATAGATTTTAAATGACAATAAGCATCTTTAATTTTACCACAATATTCACCAAATAAAAACATTCGATTTTTCAATTCAAGATTTTCTTGTTCCAATTTCATTAGATCAATGTTTTTATCAAAACTACAAAGGAATTTATTCAATTCAACTTCCTTGTGGCGAAAATTTTTATTCAAACCATCAATTTCCAGGCGATAATGTTGTTCTAAATTTATTTTTTCATTCAATAATTCTTCATAATTTTTTCGATATTTATTTAAATTTTCTTGTAATTTTTTCATTCCAACACTGAATAATTGTCGTTCTTTTTCAAATTTTAATGAATTATTTTTAGCAATTTTATTGATTAATTCAATTTCTTTTAAAAGTGAATCATTTTGTGCTTTCATCGATTTAAATTGTCCTTCTAATTGAATAGATTCTTTGGATTTTTTATATAATCGACGATTTCGAATAACATGTAAATTTCTTTGATGTCGTTCAAATACTAATTGTGCATACATAATTGCTAATATTTTTTTCATATCTTCTTCATTTGGATTTGAATTTAAATAATTTAATGATGGTATATGTTCAATACTATTTGTATTGGAATTTGTATTGTTGGGAATCGAATCACGACGATTAATCATTGAATCTTCCGTATCAACATTCAATTCTGTTGGACGTTCATTCAAATCTTTTAGATAAAATTCACTTAATGTTGATAATGTACGATCTAATAATTCATGTGGTGAACTGAATTCAAATTTTGTTGGTGTTGTTGTTGTTGTTTGAAAATCAATTGATGTTGATGATGATGATTGAAATAATAAATGTCGTTTTGATTCATGTAATAATCTATTTAAATGAATATTTTTCGATGAATCACAATGAGCAAATAATAATGATCTAATTTCTTTAGTAAAATCTACTGATTTACATGTTTTATTAACAGTCGTCGATGTTGATGAACGATTCGAATGCAAATTTGGATTTTCCAATATCAAATTGATTCGATTATTCGATTTTTCCATTGAACATTTTCGTCTTTCTTTACAATGTTCATTATTTTGTTGTTCTTTTACGTTTTGATTATTATCCTTATGTAATTCGTTGATTGATGAATTATCATCAACATTTTCAAAATAAAGTATTGGACAAGATTTACTAAATTTTTTCATTGCTAACAATGTTGAAATGGAAAAACCAAAATCATTATCATAACCAACATCATTTGTTTCATCTTGACAATTACTTTGATAACGAATTCTTGTATTCAAATGTTTGAATGATGATTTTACATTTTCAACCAATTCATCATTCAATTTTTTCATCATCATTGAATCCTGACATTGATGATCATTTTTATCAGCTTCTTCTTTATCGATAACCGAAATATCATTGGCTGGATTTTTTCTATTGTTCATAGATAATTTATCATTTTCATTTTCTAAATTATAACTTATAATTTCAATATCAACATCTTCATTATCATTATTGTTGTTGATCGCCTGAGAATGGTCAACCGAATTACAATTACGTAATTGATTCGAATTAAATAAATGATTATCGATTGGTGATGCGGTTTCGGTTTTCGATAATGATGTAATCATATCATTTTTTGTACCAATATTACCAATCTCTTTGATTGGTTTGAATGGAGAAAAACATGATTGTTTTTTACTTATGTTTCGTTTTTGTATAGAATTTTCTAATAGAGATGTTTTTGAATTGGCAGCAATTGCTACAGGTTTGACAAGATTTTTTCCATTATTTTCTGATTTTTGTTTATCATCCATAACGATAAATGATGAAGAATTTATTTGTTTTTGACTCATATTTATTGCTTCTTGTGCTGATTCAAGATTATCAATTCGGTCCACATTTGTTTTGCCGTCTGTTGTCATCATCATCATATGATATTTCCGTGAACAAAGTGATGGTAAATTTTGTTCATTTTCATTAATCGTTTTATTTAGTTCGGAGAAAATTGAATTTGATGAAATTGTTGTCGAATAAAGTGGTGGGTCTGATCGGTTACATATTTCACCACCGCCATCGCCATCAGCATTATCACCATCTTCATTGGTTAAAAATTCATACAATTGTGAAAGATCATCATCAACAAAATATGATGATTCAAATGGATCGATTGAATATTGACAACATTCTTCCAGTATATCATGTGGTTCTTTATAAAACCAACGTGTTTTATCACATTCACGATTTTTTGATGATGTTATTAGAAATGGATGAAAACGAATTTTATTCAACATTGGTTGAATAATTTTTCGAAATATTGCATTATTTTCCTTATTACAACCTAATCCATAGTTAGTTTTAAGATAATCTAAAAAATTACAAGGATACATTGCATACAAACGGATAAACACACGATAAACAATTGAATTTAGATTTAAATATGATAGATTTTTTCTTTGATTCAAATCTTTTTTATCATCTTCTTCATTCGGTTGATTCATTCCTTTATAAAGAAATGATGATAATCGCGAAAAACAAACAAATATATCATCAAGACATTGTGTCATTAGACATGGTAATGCTGCAATCAATTCGACAAGAATCAATGCAGATATTGCAAGTATAACTATTTCTTGATCATTCTAATAATAAAACAAAACAGGAGTTAACTCTTTTTTTCTTCTTGTTTAAATGAAAAGAAAAATACCTTTAAAATGTTGAAAAAACAATTCAATAATGGTGTATTGATAATATTCGGCAACCATGATGGTGAACGATGAACAACATTCGAAATAAGAATAAAAACAGCAAAACGTTTTTCAACATTATATTGAACATTGATTTTTTTCATCAAAATATTGAATAAGCACTGTGAATAAATGGTAAAAAAGAATAATTGAAGATTTCAATGAAAAAAACCAATTCAATTCAATTACCTCATCAAGCGGTGATGAAATTCCAACCAAAATTCGGAAAACACGATCGGAAAATGTTTGTAGATAAAGATCAACTAATTTTTCGATAAAATTTTCTTTAAAATGACGTTCATGAGTTTTGTGTTTGCCTTGTGTGGTAAATGAATATATGGAAAAGAATATGGAAAATAACGGTTTAGAACAGCAAAATTGACCAAAAACAACTTACTTTCATCCAATAATTCGAAAATCTGTTCATATAATGATTCAAATTGATCATTCGGAACTATTTGAATTTTTGATAATAATTCTTGCATTTGAATATTTGAATTGTTCACCATGATTTATTGATTCGAATTATCTTCTTGAATTTTATTATGAATCAAGTGTTTCAGCTGACAATATTATTATTATTGTTGATGATGACAATGAAGACCAACCAACCAACAACAACAAAATCGAGAGACAACAACAGAGAACAAAAAACAAAAAAATCAAACAAACGAAAAAACCAAAGACTAGAAATTCATGAAAATCCGGTATAGCTGGCAGCAGCAGCAGCTGTATTTTACCAAAAAACTTCGAGTTTTTTTGTTGTTGTTGTTGTTGGGCATGCAGCAGCACACAATATTTGTGTCAAAAAAAAACAGCAGACAAATGAGAGATTGCACAATCGACATAAAAAACAAACATCGATTATATCGATTAGTGATGAACGAATTACAAATTTTCAAAACGTTCGATTTTTTTTCTGTTTGCCGGTTGCTGATGATTTATGGACCAAAAAAAAAAAAAAAAAAATGATCCGAAAATAAAACTTTTTTTTAAATTGTAAACTTGAAAATTTAACTTTTTTATTAATATAAAATCAAATTCAACAGATACAAAAACAATCAACATTTTTTGGCAATTAAGAATTTAATAATTTCTTTTTTTTCAATTTTAATTCATATAATTCCATTGTTAATGGACCAACAAATTTCATATCCATTTTTAATATAAATTCTAAACATTGTTCATTTAGATAACGAATTTCTTGTATACCGGTTAATAATTTTAAATAAATTGAACGTCCTTCACAAATTGATGAATATTTTACCTGTAAATATTTACGTAATAAATGACTAAATGTTTGAAATTGTTGTTGTATATAATGACGATTAATTAGATTTGAACGTTCCGGGTAGAATAAAATCATCATTGATAACTGGTTAATAAATGAACGAAAAAATCAATTTTTAAAAACAAAACAAAAAGAATCAATCAATCAATCAGATTACCAGATTAAGAATTGAATCATCATTACGCCAATCATAACGAAATGAATTGAAAAAATTTTTTAAACGACCAATAATTTCATTACCATATGTTTGTTGTAAATAATCATTATCGAAAACAATAAATGAATTACGTTCTTCAAGATTTGGATTCGGTAATAAACAAGATTTACGTGATTCATCAAAAAATCTTAAATTAATTATCCATTTAATTTCGATGGCACTATTTTTCAATAATTGAATTTGATCTTCTTGACATAATTGTCTAAATGATGGTACATTTTTTACCGTTATAATTAATTTTTTCATACTCATTTCCAAATATTTTAAACCATCTTGTCGATCACGTATAATTTTTTCATGTTCAGGATGAAAATTTGGATGGTGACCAAAATCATATAATGTATGTAAATGATAATTAATTTCTTCTAATTTTTTCTGTTCCAATCGATTTAGTTGAAATAATTCTTGGTTATTAATGTTATTTGGATCAATGTTTAACGATGATGATGAATCAATCAATGGATTTTCAATATGTTCCAAACGAATTGCATGTCTATAAACAAAATCGGAAATATTTGACCAACAATATTGATTGTTATTCGATGGTGATAATGGCTTTTTTTCAATTTCATCATCATCATCATCATCATCAACAACAAATATTTCGTGACCAATATTTAATTTATCATCACAACGACAATCATCATCTGATGTTTGTTGTTGGCGTTGTTGTTGTTGTTGTTGTTGTTTACATTTTTCATTCGTTATATAATCATCAACAACAACAATATCCATTCTATTACGATAATAATTCAATGTTGTACTTTTATTATTTAAACATTCAATTTCATCATCACCATTATCACCATTAACATTATCATCACCATTAATCAAAAAGTATTTTTTGTCATCCAAATTCGTTTCCAGAATCGAATGATTATTGCTTGAAATGGAATCATAATTATCATTGCTGTTAATGTTGTTATTGTCAACCGTTCCATTTAAATTGTCTATTTCCGTGCTAAAATGATTATTTTCAATTTCTATTTTCGGTTTTTGTTGTTTTGGATCATCAATAATGTTGTTATTATCGTTGATTTTTGTCATCATTTTGGCAGATTCTTTAGAAATTTTCATTGAAAATTTTTTATTCAAAAATTTAATCAAATTATTTTCAAAATTATCATCGTCATCATCGATCATCATTGATTCCACCGAAATTGGTACCAAAATTATGTTTGTTTTTGATGATTGTTTTTGTTGTTGTTGTTCAGCCGAACTATCCGGATGAATATTATCATCATATCGTTGTTGATGATGACGATATTTTCTATGATTATTCAGCTTTTTATTCTGTTTGGTTAGAATCCAATCCTACATTGGGCATATGGGTGGAGGGTACAACAACAAATGAAAATCAAATCAAATCAAAAAAACTTGAACAAACAATCGAAACAAAACAAAGCAAACAAATGAATGATGAATGAACATCATTCATTTGATTGATTGAAACAATTTTTTTTTGGCAAAATTCAAAGCAAACAATGAAAATACCATCATTGTTTTGTTGCTTTGTTTCGGTTAAAATATTTTTCAAATCAAAAATTTTCAATATTTACTTTTCTCATTCCAATTTCGAAACATTTTTTCAATCGACAATATCGACAATATTTTCTTGTATCGGGTGTTAATAAACAATAATGATTGTTGTTGCCTGCAGCAGAAGATGAACATCGAAAATTCTGGTGTTTAATGGTTTTTGGAAAACCAATATTTAAATAATTCATATTTAGGTGGCAAACGGTAGCCAAGATGAGAAAAACAAAATTGATTATTTTATCAGTCAAAACCAAACAAAACAAACCTTATTACGTAAGGCATTTCGACGAAAAAATGCCTTACATGATTCACATGTTAAAGCATTAAAATTATAACCTAATGCTTTATCACCACAAACTGTACAAATTTTTTTGAATGAAAGTTCCATTGAATTTTCTCGTTTTTTTTTCATTTGAAAACGAAAAATCAAAATTTCAATGAAAATTTCAATGAAAATTAACACCTTGAAAGCAACAACAACAAACTATTGAAACCAGCCTAAATTAACATCGATTTTTTTTTCTCTTTATTATTATTATTATTTAGCAACCAATAGTACTCGACAACAACAACAACAACAAAAAAATTATCTTTATGGTTGATTTTATCATCTCTCTCTCTCTCTCTCTCTCTCTCTCTCTCTCTCTCTCTCTCTCTTCTGTTTGTCTTTTTTTTTTTTTTTT